AAAGGGAAAGGTTGCATCTTCCTTATAATGAACAGAACCTGCAGTACTCCGTTAAAGAAGTAAAGCAACCTCTCCATTCCTACTGTGCGTCATTTCATGGCTTGTTCCGTCACTGCTAACTTCTTCTCCCTTAGCGAGTATAGTATTCCATGTTTCACTTCCACACGGCCAAAACTAATAAAACAATGAAACCAGGTGCTTCATTGAATTAAAACGTTCTTTTTTAGCCCAAGGCATTTGTCATATTTGCTTCAAAACGTAACATTACTTATGTTTCAGGCGACAGAAGCGTACGAAGTTTTGTCGTCTGATAAAAAACGAAAAGAATATGATGAAAAATGTCAGGAAAGCTGCGTGCAGACACCATCGGGAAGTTGGCCAACACAACCGAACGGGGCAAGAACAAAGAAAAATTTCGAGGATTTAGGACTGGATTATAAAACATTTGAGGAATTTCAGCGTAGCGTTAATACAAGGTAAAGAAAATCATGGTAAAGTCGTTCGTATTTTCACAATTACCAGTTCATCGTAATTCTATGCTGTTTTTATGCGTTTTTGCCGTGAAGCGCTGGAGCGCTGCAACAGGCAGTAAAAACTCATATTGCAACGATCCTGTCTGTGTGTGTATGCTTGTGTATGTGTGTGTGTGTGTGTGTGTGTGTGTGTGTGTGTTCGTCTGTCCGGATATTTTTACTCGCCAACCACGCAGGCTTTGATGCTGTAATTTTGCTAGTGTATCCCTGGTCAAGTACTACGGCAGGAACGTGGTATCAACTCCAACGTGTGTCCACGTCTCAAATACGGACAAGTGAAAGTTTTGGCGGTTGACTTGGGAGCGAGAAAAGCGAGAATGCTGAAGCTTACTCACGGCCAAAATATTTCATGTTCAGTTCGCTAGAACGGCCTGTAGCTCACGTACGGATGCGTGGAAATTTTTGCGGAAAAATTGCTAACTCGGGGATGAGAAAAGCTGGGAGGCTGGGATTTTAAGGGAATGTTCCCTACTCATGTGCGACTAAAAGATTTGAAATTTAACACACGCACCAGCAACCTTCCATTTTTCGGGTTGCTGAAGCAGACAACATACCACGTAGCTGCACAGTTAACTTCCTGAACTTCGAGGGTTAGTATGTCAAAAATTCTAGCTGCTGGGATTTCTTGTGAATTTGCTACAGTGCAAAATAGTGCAAAAACGCGTGGCTGTTCCGGCTTGCCGGGCGCGTTCCAACCTAGGTTTTTTTATTTTTTGCTTGAGTTCAGTCTCTTAGCACTGACAGTGTATTATCTTCCCGTGGATATCGTGGCCAACGCTGCCTCCTTCCCTTTCCCTCCCTTCCTTCTCCCTTGCTGTCTAGTAATCTGATTATTATTCAGGCGTTCATTCTGTTTTATTTTTTCGTCCTTCTGAGCAAAAGTGGTGCACATATCCATGTCTATTTGTCATATTTAAATGCCTTATGTTTAGGTGTATCAAAAGTCAAAAAAATCCATAATCTAATCCTCACTTACTTTATAAGAGTAGCGAGGGCACTCGGAAATAGCTCGAGGTGCCAGTAGAAATTTCCTTCTGGCAGGGTTGACAAAAACCCCTTTTTTGAGAGTTATTTAAAAGAAATGTGATGGCGGATTTGTCCTCCTGGTATATGTTAGTGTCAATTTACCATCGAAACGAATAAACGAATCAAAGAGAGACTCACTATCCTATTGGCGCGGTTAAACTGTCGATCTTCAGCTGCTGGAGCGGCTTACTTGCTTAAATTTCTTTTATTTTAGAAAACAACGAAGCAGACATGACCACTGGCAGATGCCGGATGAATTTTTTGAGCATTTTGGCACTCGACAATTCACCAGTACTTTCCGTCCGCAAGCAACATCTTATTTTACTTACAGTTACAAGGTTGCTTGAACAATTTCGCGAAGTTTTTCCCTCATTTTCCCTGGCAGCAGCGAAATGTGGTAAATTTAGAAGCATTCCTGTTACAGTCTATGAACCCTTAGTTATTTTCCGTTACCGTATATCAAGTGAACTGTTGTTTTGAGGATACGATGCAGCGGCAGCGTGAATTGAAAGAATGGCAGATTTTGAAGGAGATTGAGGAAGAGAAACGGAAGACGAGGTACAAAATTCCAACGTTCCTGGCAATGGAAATGCAAAGGAAGCAACGAATGCTCAATGAAAAGAGAACTGTCAACGCTTTTATACTCCTTTTTGGCATTCTAATGACTCTTTCATATGTCCGCCGATTAGTATAATCCATTCCTGTGATGGATTCTTCAGTCTGCATCAACTGTTCCACCTCGGGCACTCAGAAATCGCATAGCTGTCATTTCGGCTGTGGAGATCGTGCCGCAGTTCCCAGATGGTAGACATCTAAGGCGGTGATTTTTGGAAATTCCTAATCAGCAGGTTTCAGGCAGTTAGGCAGTTGTGAGGGTTCCATCCCGAGAAATGTCGGCTGCCGCGGATTCTCGGCTGCGTCTGGGAACAGCTTTACCGGATGCTTCTCGTCGTTGAAGTATTAAGCTGACAGCTAATTCCCCTGTGGCGTGATACCAACCAGGACACGTGGTACTTTCGTTCTAGTATAGCTGAAGCATTCCCCTAATAGGCCACCAGTTTTGTACTTTTAACATCATCTGGTTAAAGTGTAAAGTAAACTTTGTCTGTGAAAACAAATACGTGTTTATGGAACCTGTGAAAACAATGTGGAATCAATTGGAAACAATCATGTATTACGT